AGTAATATATTCTCATGGCAAAAAGTCTGAACAGTTCAGAAACATATAAAGTGAAAAGTGGACTTTTCTATCCCTTCTCACTCTGGTCATGGAAAGCCCTTTCTGGTGACTCTGAAATTTTAAGGCAGAAGGGCTAACTGGTTTTTATCAATTTTTTACACATATTGTGATATACTCCTCATCAGTACTTCTCAAACATCAGTATGCATCAGAATCATACAGAGAACATGTTAAAACCACAGACTGCTGGGCCCCAGCCCTAGAGTTTCTGACCCCGTAGTTCTAGCCCAAGATTCCGAGTTTCTTTTTTGTTTGTTTTTTTGAGACAGGGTCGCTCTCTGTCACCTGGGCTGGAGTGCAGTGGCGTGATCTTGGCTCCCTGAAACCTGCACCTCCCAGGCTCAAGTGATCCTGCTGCCTCAGCATCCCTAGTAGCTGGGACTACAGGCTAATTTTTTGTAGAGAGGTTTTACCATGCTGCCCAGGCTGGTCTTGAACTCCTGGGCTCAAGCAATCCTTCTGCCTTGGCCTCCCAAAGCGCTGGGATTACAGGCATGAGTCACTGCAACTGGCTGAAAAGTCTGGACTTCTAACAGGCTCTATGCCCATGGTGGCAGAGGGCACACCCTTCATTGAGTAGCACCATCCAAGCAATGTCCTGCCATTTGCTTTTCTACTTAGTGAATATCAACATACAACCTCAACCTCACTCTTTTTAACCACTGCATACTAGTCTGGTCTTTGGATGCCTCATAACATATCCAATCAGTGCCCTATTAATGGACTTAATGTTGCTTCCAGTTTTTCAGGTTTGGAAGCAAAACTGCAATGAACACACTTGTATGTATACTTTCAACACTTGTGACATTTATAACAGTGCATCTGATAAATTCCTAGATATGGAACCCTCGAGTTAATGGTTTGTGAATTAATTCTCATGTGTATTGCCAATCCCCTTCACTGGTGCAATTGTCTTCCCCCCCGCTCTGAGGATGTCTGTGTCCACACAGTGAGGGGTTGCCCATTTCAGTTGTTGTCAATCAAACTGGCGAAAAGATAATCTTCTCATGTCTTCATTTTGATTTCTTCTATTTTGACTGAGGGTGAGCATTTTCACCTGCTTGTTAACCGTTAGTATCCCCTTACCGGTTTATGTGCTTTGCCCATTTTTCTATTTGTTTTTATTTTCCTTATTGACTTGTAAGAACTCATCTGTTATCTATGTTAAAAATATTTTTTTTCCAGATGGTTGTCTTTAGAATTCAGGATATTACATTAAAAACCTTTTTTTTTTTCAGAGATGGGGTCTCACGGTGGTGCCCAGGCTGGCCTCAAATTCCTGGGCTCAAGTTATCCTCCCACCTCAGCCTCCCAAGTAGCTGGGACTACAGGCATGTACCACAATACCCTACATCATATTTTAATACAGACAATTTTTAAAAATTCTTTCCCTTTGTGACTCCTAGGTTTTGTGTCAAACTTTTCCCAATCCAAGAACATATACTTTTAGACTTTCAGATGTTTTCTTCTAGTAATTTTATGGTTTCCTTTTTACATTTAAATCTTTGCTCCATCTGGGATTTATTTCAGAATAAGAGATGAAGTGGGGAGCTGGATTTCTTTTTCTCCCCCCTTAACAGCTAGCCAGTTGTCCAATTTGATTGAATAATTCATCTTTTCTCCTCTGATCTAAAATGTCACTTTATCATATATTTAATTTCCATTTGTTCACGGGTGTGTATCTGGCCTCTACTCTGCTCCTTTGATCTGCCTGTCTGTTCTTGTGCCAGTACCCAACTATTTTATTACTGGAGCTTTCTACAACATTTTAGTAGCACTAGTCGTCCCTTATAATACTTCTTTTTCAGGATTTTCCAAGCTCTTTTTGCATGTTTATTTCTCCAGATGAACTTTAATATAATTTGTCAAGTTCAAAAGATCTTGTTGTTTTTCACATCTTCCAACAGATGTGATTTTCGGACGTCTCAGCCCACAGCCAAACAGAAACAAGTTGAGAATAGGGTGGGTTTGGTGGTCTGCCCTGGAGGCAGGCAAAGTAACGGTAACAGAAGTGATAGTTTATATGGAGAGAGTTGATGAAGTGATAAAGTACTATAAAAGTAGACACAAGAACTATGAAAATGTAGCCTTCATGGAATGAGCCTCTAGTGTGGGGCCAAAAAAGGCCTTGGATTTTCACTGTATTACAACCAGGATAGTGATGGACCCTTGTAACCACAACCCTGAGTCATGAAGACTCACATGTTCTGTAACCTCTGATTAAAAGCCCGGAAAGTGTGTAATATCCACTAGTGATTCCTATCCAAAATATCTCTTCGTAAGGTTTCAGATATTAATGTCTGGAAAACTAGTATGAAATGGTTCATTCTTGGATGGTGACATAAACATGACATGTTACTGGCCTCTCTATAGCTTTCTCAAAGCCCACCTTCAAATTCCAAGGAGCTGCCAGTTCTGGGATTTGAATTCACTCTATTCATGGAAACAAAGCTAAGGGAAATGTCCCCAGACTTTCAGCCAGTTCAAACACAATAATAAAAAGGTTTATCTCATACTGAGCATCTGCCTCCAACATATGAGGCATGTTACAGGCAGAGTAGATTGTAATCCTCAACAGCCCCGCTAGGTGAATGCTGTACTCCCATTATACAGAAAAACTGAGGCTCAGAGGGGTCAAAAAACTGGGGCAAGTTTAAATTAGTATGTGACAAAGAGCTCTCAGCTACCTTCACCTGCACATTCCACAGACCTGTCGCCTTCAGTTCACTCCCACAGGGAGGTTCGGAACACCACCAACCCTATTCAGACATCCCTTTGCAAGGCCCTGCCACCTGCCTTCCCAGTGCCCACCTAGCCAGGAGAGCCACGATGCACGGCAGGGAGGGTGGAGTGAGGTGCCAACCCGGCCCATCCAGGGAAGGAAGACAGCCCTCCAGCCACCCACTTGCCAGTGGCCCAGGTGGCAGGCCAGCCACCTGCCAGTCCCCTTCCCGATCAGGGATTCAGGAAGTGAAGAGAGTGCCCCTGGAAGTCAGGAGACACCTCCAAGATGAAGGCCCTGCCTGCCATAGCCTGACACAGCCTTCCTGTACTTCCTGTGTTACAGGACGCAGACTCTGTGCTTACCATACCACACCTTTGTCAGTGGTGTGGGCAGAGCCCAGCAGAGTCCTGGACACCCCAGGGAGTAGGAGCCGTGCAGGTGACATAGGAGGAAGTGAAAGGGAAATGAACTCCCTTGGGAGTTCCCCATCCCAGAGGAAATAAAAGTCAAAGCACTCCTTTGTTTTTCCTTCCCAAGGCCTTATAAGGGGCTTTATGGGGCTTGCCTGGGATTGAGGTACAGCAGAGGTGGGAGGGTGATGGCCTCCAGGCTGAGAGATCCTGGGGCAAAGGTGAAACTATATGGTCATGAACATGGGCACGTTCTGAACTCTGTGAACCCCTAGCCCAGGACCTGGCTGACTGTACAATCCGTCACCCTGCATCCCGTAGCAGAAGAGCCTACTACGCGCAGAGGACAGTACTATTGGGGTGGCAACTGAAAAGGGGCCTGGGTAGAGGCGGGGTTTGCTGGAAGGGTAACAGAGTGTGCGCGGAGGGGAGAGGATACGGGGGTTTCAGCCCAGCATCCGCAACCCCGGCGCTCAGAGGAGCCGCGCGCTCCGGAGCTCGGCGCGCGCGATCAAAGCCGGCGCCGCACGCGCACGCGCGCCCGCAGCCGCTCCCCCGCCCGCGCGGCTCCGGCTCCCGCGCGCGCGCACTTGAGGCCTCCCTTGTGCGGCTCCTCCATTCGCTACGTGCAGAATGGTCCGTCGGCAGCAGCTGCAGCGCCGGGTGGGAGGGGGAGGAGGAGGGGAGGGGGAGGCGGCGCCCCGGTCTCGGGGAGGGGCCGTGGCAGCCCTGGCGAGAGAGGGGTGGGGGCGAGGGGCTGGGCCCCAGCAGCGGGGAGGACAGAGGGAGAGTCCGGGTGGGCTTGATGCTCAGCCTTCGCCCTCCCCCACCCCCGATTCTTTCTGCAAGGCCATTACGGCCATCTCCCGGCCTGAGCGTCCTGGAACCAAGCCTACCAAGAGGGGCTTTCTCCGTGTTATCTCCTCACCAAAACCCTGAATGCAGACCCAAGAAAGAACCACTCCTGCTGACCCCTCCTCCCGCTTCGCGTCCCAACTGCATTCCCAAGCTTTCGTGGAGGTGACCCAACAGCACGCACTTCCCCACTCCGCCTTTCATGGGGTGGGGTCCCTAAGAGGTACTGCAGACTCACTCCGCTTTTCATCTCTTACCCCACCTGGAGGAAGAGGCATGGCCAGGTTGGACACCAGAGCACATTTCCCAGCATTTCCAAGGGGAAAGGCCAGCATCTCAGCATGCAGACTCCAACACGGCCACAGAAAGGTCGAGTGGCGCCGAGGAGCAGACTGCTGCCCAGGCCCCTAGGGCCACTTCCAAAGGAGTGTGATAAGGACTAGGTTGCTTTGGACTCACTCGTATTACAGGGCTGCGCCCTATACACCTGTTTGTAAAGGGTCCTCCTGGAATGTAATGGTGAGGGACCACCAAGCGGTGGACCAAGGATTCCAAACAGACCAGCTCCCTGCCCTGCCAGGAAACCAGATGTGGCCCAGATGTGGCAGTTCCTCCCACAGGGTGGGACACCAGCTATTCTGTGCAACCCCTCCCAACCCTTCTTCCAGGGTCAGGGAGGAAAGCTGGCGACCTCCGTTGTCCCTTCCCATTTGGGCTGCTAGAAGGGAGCAACTCACTCATCCTCCTCTTCCTTCCCAGAGCCACCTGGGCTTACCTCTGCAGCAGCCACCTAGGTTCAACCTGTGTTCTAACCACAAGACCTCTGCTGACAGGTTAAGTCAAGATCGCCGGGAAGGAAGACATCCAGTTTCATTACACACACATACGTACACACACACCCGACACCGACCCATGCGCCTGGGCTCTGCACAGTGGCTAGACCCCAAAAAGCAGATTCTCCTGTTCCTTCCCTGGTGGCCTCAGTCTTTTGGCGGCGCCCTCTGCTGGCCACTATGAAGTGCAGGAAAAAACAGTCTGAAGATAGACGCTTGGTGGATCTGGGGAAGGGGACAAGAGGCAGAGAAACAAGTGAAAACTGGGAACTGAGAGCAGCGCTGGGCTGGCCATAAACAAGCGAGGCATGGTGACGCCTTCCTGGAGGTGAGGAGTTTTGAGTCAGCTTTCCATGGGCCTAGGGGGACAAGCCAAGCTGGCAGATAGGGGCTCAGAACACCACAGGGGTGGCCCTTCCTGTGTGCTGAGCCCTGCCCCTGTCCTGGATGGCTCACACACCCACTAACTCTGAGGGCTGCTGTGCCCTGCTTGGGGGTCCTTCCTGTCAGCCTCTATTGGGATGGTGGGTGGGGAGGAGCAGCCATGGAAACCCTGATCCTTCTAGTCATAGCCTGGCTCCTTGGGACCATGAGAGGTGTCCCCAAAGAGAAGCCTCTGATTGACAAATCTCTGCCCCACCCCACATACACACAGGATGGCCCAAGCCCAGGTCCCTGGCATGGTGGGGCAGGGGCCTGAGTCACAGCCTGGTGTGACCCTGCCCAGTCCCAGGAGTGGCCAGCTCGCCCAGAGGTGAGACCCAGGTCAACAATCCATCAGTCTGCCTCCTGCCGCCAGGTATCCTCCCCATCACGTCCTGCACGTGGGGTGGGCCAGGACAGTGCTGGCAGAGCTAGTGTTGGGCCTGTGCCTGGGGGCCACCAAGGGGGCCTGGAGAAAAGAATGGAGGGGTTTTCACCTCCTGAGCAGCAGGAGGAGCCAGGTGGGGTTAAAGACAGGAGGTTCTGGTTGGACCCACAGGCATTTGGAGTCTCTCCCTGCCTGCTGGGTGAGGGAGGCAGCAGGTGCCAAGAACTGCTAGCTTCTAGAACCTGCCCCTCAAGTTGCTTCTCCTGAGGAGGGGCTTCTAGGGTCACCCTCAGGGCCTTGACATCTGCACAGGCCCTTCACCAGGGACTTACCTCCAAGGCAGCTCCTGCTCCCAGCCTTCACAAGCCCCACTAGGGCCCAAGTCCCCAGACCCAACCTCAGTATGCAAGCTGGCCAAGTCAGAGAGCCTGGCTGCCTGGACCACTCCCAACCAGTAAATGGCACTGTGGGCTTCCTCCATTCTGCCTTCCCCGCCCCACTTCATTGATTAACTGACTTCCAATTTACTGGCCAGGCCCCCTTCCAGACCCTGCCTGGGTAAAGAGGACTCCCAGAAGCAGTGATTGAAGGCCCAGGAGGATACAGAGAGCCAGGTGCTTTAATTGGAGGTAATTAGTTAATTTACTCTGAAAGCAATGGGGCAGGGCAGGGACAGGGGGAGGAGAGGGGAGGGGAGGAGCTAGGGGGCTGTGACCTAAGTGGGCTCAAACTCTCAAACTCTGGTCAGCCTCCTTCTGGACCACAGCTACCCTGAGTGTACACACCCACTTAGGAGACCCTCTCCTGGGCCCCAGGTCAGAGCAAGACCCAAAGCGGACTAGGGTGGCTTTACAGAAAAAGCAGGTGCCCTGGGGTGGTGGGAACAGACCTTTTGAGGTTAGGTAGGTGTGGACTGGCATGAGGGGATTGGAGAAGTGCAAGGAGCTCTGCCATGGGAACTGGTCCGTCTCCTGTCACCTATACTTCCATCCCTCCCAAGGTCATTGCTCCCACCAAAGTTAGTGGCCCAGCCCCCTCCTTTGGTCAGTGAAATCCCAGGGCAGCCCATTTTAAATACAACGGGGCCTGAAGGCTAACTTCTGGCATTCCTGCTTTGGGAAATCATTCCAATAACCGGGAAAAAAGGGGGCCCGAGGACAGAGCCCCTCCCGGGCCCCAGGGGGCGTGTCGTCGGCTCCTATGCGTCGCCGGCCGGCGGGCGGCGTGGCGGGGACTCTGGCCGGCAGCCTCCCGCGCCGTCCGGAGCAGCTGACCCGCTGGCGGTGGGCCAGGTCGCGGCGGGGCCTGGAGGCAGCAACGTGCGGCGCGGCATGTCGCGGGCACCGCGGCAGGGAAATGTGGGGGCGGGCCGGCGCGCCCCTTCCCCCGCCCTACGCTGGCCCATTCATAAAACCTGCAGGCGCTGCCCGGCCTGGCAGCCTTGGTCTCCTAATTGCAAACTCATTAAGGAGTTTGCATCTCATTTGCATGGAAATCATTTCCTGGCCCTAAACAGAGAAACTTCCCGCCCCTCCACCAGCCCCTCTCTGCCCTGCTTTACCCATGCACAGTCTGGGAGAGGAGAGGGGCATATCTCTGACCTGCACCCCTTCCCTGGCCTCACCACCACCCTTCCACTTTAGGAGTTGGGGAGGGGATTGGCAGAACACCCACCCAGCCAGGAGCCCTGCCTGTGCCCCAGGTGAGCCAGCCCTGCCCTAGTGGGCCCAACTGAGGGGAGGCGCCTGCCAAGTCATTTGCCCCCCGGCCTGACTGTGCCCAGGGAAGGGAGGAGGCGGTCGGCAGTTGGCCCCAGCAGCTGGTTGTACCTGGCAGGAGGTGGGTGAGGCTTTTCGTGCCCAGCCTCACGTACGTGCCCTGCCACAGGCCGTGCCCCCACCCCCACACCCCTCACCCCACAGAACAAGCGCCTAGTGACTGCAGAAACAGACACCCAGTCATGGCACACAAAGGCACCCACACCAGGCCAGCCATCATGGCTGCCACCCTGGCAGCCACCCTGGAGGGCAGACAGATGCCTTCACAAGCCATTTTGTCTTTCTCCAGCTTGGTGCCAGGACTGGGGGTGGGGGAAAGGGTTTCTCCTGAGAGTTCTCTGAGTAAGGGGGCCCATAGAGGGGTTTCCTTATGTACCCCAGCTGTGGCCTCTTGCCCCTTCTCTCCTGTAACCCATGTTTATAGAGGCCTCCAAGTGCTCTACCCTGCATGAGGACCTGCCCAGGCGAGGGGGTCTCAGGAGGGGAAGTGGGAGATAAAGCCCCTAAGGAAGGGACACCTAAGTGCCTCCCCAACCAGGGTCTGTCCTTCCTGTCCCAAGGGTGTGTGGTGGAGGGAGTGCTCCCCAGTTTCCTGGGGGTTGGTGGGGGGTCGTATTCTAAACCTTTGGAAATGGAATAGAACTGCCTAAAGTATATGAAATTAGATACTACTTGGGACACTATGTCCTGGTTCTGTATGTCCTGGGACAGTGTAAAAAGTGATCACAAAATTTTCAACATCACAGTCTAAAATAAAAACCTGCCTCTTGTCTTCCTCCCCAGATATATCCCTGCTTACGCTTCCCATCTGCCCACACTCCCACCTGCTGTATATGAAGTTTCTCCCTTCCGTTGCTAGGGCATAAAGGGGTGGGCAAGGATGTTTTGAAACACTGACCACACATTCGTCCTGAGTATGGCTGGACTGACCCTACCCTCCCAGCTCTTGGAGCAGTTGCGTTTCAGGTGCCATATGTGTGCGTGGTTCAGGGGTGCTGGAAGAAAGTTTTAGAATGCGTATTTATTTTTCATCTAATCCTTTTTTCGTTTAGTGTGAGTGTGTTTTACAAGGTAAACTATATAAAAATATACTCGTATAACAGGTGTGTACTCAACAATCTTTTTTATTGCTAAGGGCACATGATCAAAAAACTTCGGAGGTCACTGGCCTAGACTTCAGGTGGGGCAGCTGTGGGCAGGGGATGGCTTGTCTTGTCCATCTAAGTATCTAGCCTGACACATGACTAGTTCAGAGCCTGGCAGGGAGCAGAGGTCAGGGACACAGCATTGAATGAACAAAGTCCACCCCTAGAACTGACAGATGAGGAAACTGAAATAATTCTGGGGTGGGGAGATTGCTCAGAGGAGGACATGGGCAGGTTGAGAGAGTCTCCCCTCATTGCTGCTATGTCTGCAGCCTGCCCGTGTCCAGCACCCACCCAAATCCTACTTCTACCCACCCCAGGGAGCACAGCTTCCTCCTCTGCCTGCCGGCAGAGTGGCCACCTGTCTTGAGCGTCTTACCGGATCCTGATTAGCAGAGCCAGACAGGGTTGTCACCTGCCACATCCCTCTACCTGGCAGAAAGTCTGTTGCCAGCTTTGTATCCTAGAACTCTCTGGAAGTCAATCTGGTGTAGGAGAAAGAATTTAGGCTCCAGACAATCCTCATCCAGCTTGGTGACCTTGGGCACAACACATAACTTGTATAAGCCTCAGTTTCCCAATCTGTATATTGGGACCAATATTTGTACTTACCATACAGGGTTGTTGTGGATGTTGAGTAGCCCACTGTGTGTATAGGGTCTGGCATATACTAGGTTTTCAGTAATATTCCTGTCCCTCTGTGTGCAGCAGGTGCCCCATAAAGAATCTGTTGAATTGTGATTTGACATCAGCATGGGAAGGAGAACTCAGAAGGCAGACAAACGAGCCTTTGCTCCCTTCTCTGCCTGCTGGCACGGTGGCCACCTGTCTGAGCTCTGTCCTGCGCCTTCCTGCAGAAATGAAGCAGCCACTCTGGCAGCCTTGGGTCCTCTCCAGGTTCATCCACTCTGTGGTGGGGTGTCCTCCCCCTTTTCTCCCTTACAGCTCCTTTCCCTCTTTCAGCGCTGCTTTCACTTCAAGCATGAGCTGAGGGTGACTCCTGGTGGTCACTCGTATAACTGCAGAATCCTGACCATTGACACCTCCATCTGGAAGTGCATGAAGTCGAGTGTGCAAGGAAGTCATTCTTTACACTTTCCCTACACCTCCCAACTCCCTGTCAGGGCCCTGGGGAGCCTCAGCGGTGACTACTCCCCGGGGACTCCACCCTCCGAAGTTCCACCTCTAAGGGCTTCACTTGCCTGATTAGTGGGGACAATCAAGGAGGCCTCTGCCCAGATCCTGCAGCACCAGGCCTGGCTCCAGGCAAAAAGCAGGATAGTGCCTACTTTTCCCTCAAGTGCTACTGAACACCTTGCAGGCATCATTTTGTCCAATTCTTACCACTAGAGCCCATTATCACAAAGAAGAAACCAAGGTACAGCAAGGTTAAGCAACTTGCCAAGGATCACACAGCTCCCCAGTGCCCAAATGGTGAAATGAATACAGGTGACACTCAATGGGACACCAGACCAGCCCCTGGGGGACAGAGGAGGCCTTGAGGAAGGAGCCTGCCATGGGGTTAGAAGCCTCAAGTTCTGACCCAGCCTTGCCCCAACTAGTGGGGTGGCCTCCATCAAGGGCCTCTGCTCACTGAGCCTCAGTCTCCTCAACAGCACCATGGGCTGGAGGACAGAGCAGGATTCTCAGATTGGCTGTACATGGAAATCACTGAGAGGATTTTTCAAATACCCATGTTTTCCCAGCCCTGACTAAGGAAATCAAAATTGGTAGGGGTTGGCTAAGACACAGGTAATTTTAAGAAAATCTAGGTGATTCTATAGGCAGCCAGGGTTGAGAATGGGTCCTCTAGGAGTTCCCCATCTTCAGACTTCCCAGCCCTCTAGAGGTTGGCTCCCCAGGGCTCCCCTCTGTCCTAAGGGCTCTCCAGAGAAACTATCTTTTTTTTTTTTTTTTTTTTTTTTTGAGACAGAGTCTCACTCTGTCGCCCAGGCTGGAGTGCAGTGGTGCAATCTCGGCTCACTGCAAACTCTGCCTCCCGGGTTCACACCATTCTCCTGCCTCAGCCTCCTGAGCAGCTGGGACTACAGGTGCTCGCCACCACACCCGGCTAATTTTTTTAATTGTTTTGTATTTTTTTAGTAGAGATGGGGTTTCACCTTGTTAGCTAGGATAGTCTCGATCTCCTGACTTTGTGATCCACCCTCCTCGGCCTCCCAAAGTGCTGGGATTACAGGCGTGAGCCACCGCGCCCAGCCCAGAGAAATTATCTTAACTTGCCCACCCAGACCCACAAGAAGCTGCCTCCCAACCACCCAAGGGGACAGGGGCCCATCAACCCTTTCCAGAGGGGACACAGTATGCTTGAGCCTCTTGAGTGTCTGACCCCAAGCCTGGCCTCTGGGGTGGTAGGAGAGAAAGTCATAGGGAGCTTAACCTTAACAGGATGAAGGCGCCATAATTAGGGTCAGGCGGTTGGCTCAGCCTGCGGAAATCCCCAGCTTAGTAGGGATGGGGAGTGGCACTGCAGCCTGCGGGAGGGGTCAGGGCAGAAGTGAGGGGGCAGGGGAGCCCAAGCACATGGAAACCCAGGACCTAGGCCCCAATTACCTCCTGAGAGGGCCCACTGGGGGCTTCTCAACACAGTTCACTCCCTCCCTGGGGTTGCTGAACCCCAGGGAGGGAAGGAAAGGCTGACCAGCCCCCAACCCTAGAGACCCTACTGCTCCCTCAGGCTGGGGTGCA